TACTAGATCGGACTTGTAGTGATCCTCCTGCTTACAGCCTCTCAAGAGCTGGGATTACAGGTGCGTGCCCCCATGCCCAGTCGCCATCGGTCTCAGCGAGGCCTGGGGGCGGGGCCAGCAGAGCAGGCCCGGGGATCCAACCCCAGGCCCCTGCACTCGCTTGCAGGTGATTTAATCTGCTGGCCAGCCTTCTTCGGATGATTCTGATGCACAATGAAAAATAAGAAACTTAAATGTGCAAACAAAATACCTGGGAACTTGGCCCAGTGAAGATGCTGATTCAACAGCTCTGAGGTGGAGTCCAACATCATGCATTTCCAACACACCTAGGTGATGCCGGTCCTCAGACCACACGCTACGTAGCAAGGCACTGACCCCCCTCACCTGGGGGAGCTTCCAATGGTACTGCCAAAAAATCTTTCAAAAGGCACAGCCAAAGTATCAGGAGGAAACCAATTCAGGTGCTTTTCAATGAAGCCCAAGAGTTTCGGTCCTCAGAACTTACCTTCTTCAATATTTCTGTATTCAGCAGCATGTAGACGTCTATTGTACGACTTTCTTCTTTAGTGAGAGCACTAAGGTTACAGTGTATCGTTAGGCAAGACATTCCTGGATTTTCACAGTCCTGAAGAGAAAATCAGAATTATCCAACAGTATTTAAGAACACAGATAAATCCACAGCCATTTACAGAGCAACGAACTCTAGAACGCCTGTTCTGGTGACTAACGTGATTCCAGGCAGAGGAAAAGACAGAAGGAAGATGAAGGCCTGGAGAAGTGGCTCAGTGGAAGACTGCTTGCCTAATATGTGGGAGGCCCTGGGTTAGATCCCAACCAGTAGGGAATAATAATAAAATAAAAAAGGAAGAAAGATGTAATTATTTTTTCTTGCCACAAGAGGGCAGCCAAGGGATTTCCTGCTGCCTGGTACAAGGTGCCAAGGCATACACATTTTGGTGTCAAACTGGAGAAAGCTGCTCTCCATGGTTAATCTACCCAAAGCTGGCTTTCACAAAAAAGTCTAACTTCCTAAACGTAAGAAACATATCCCCATATTCTGATAGTGTTCCTATGAGTTTTCAATATGAGACACACTTTTTTTTCTATATTATGTAATTTTTGCCTGTGCAGTGGCAAATATACATTCAGAGTTTAAGGAAAATTTTCAGTACTGGCGATTGAACCCAAAGCCTTTGCACTGAACCATCTCCCCAGACCTTTTTATTTTGAGACAGGCCTCACTGAGTCCCCCAAGTAGGACTTGAACTTGCCATCCTCTGCTTCAGCCTCGTACAGACCTTCCTTCAGTTACAGGCATGAGGCACTATGTCCTGCTTGTATCAGAGACGAAGGAGTCATGGGACTCTAGCATAAGAAAACATGAACTACCAAAGAGAAATGAAAATTCTAGACTGTAAAAGAGGAAGTTTTTCTTCTATATCTGTATATCTCTATTGTATTTCACTTGGTGAAATTTTCAGACAGACACAGAGTTGTACCCC